AAGAGTTCTCCAACTCGCTCACTGCTAATTTGTAAAATGTGAAAAGCAGTTTAAACAACTTCCATAACAGGCAAGAATCGGTGGTGCAGCCGGAATGCTTATAAACCGTTTATTCTTCTCAACAAACAGGTGAACAAGCAGCAAGGAATGTATATTACAAGGAAGGAGAGTAGAAAAATATAATATACGCAACTGTTGCATAAGGCAGAGGGGGGCAGCAGGAAAAAAAAGTTCAGACGTGCACAAACACACAGAAGAGAACACCCGCGTGGACAAGTAAAAGAACACGTCCATCATTTTCAATAGCAATACCCTAGGTAGTTTGTCCTCATTGGAGACAATGTGACTAGCTCAAAGTTTGATGCGTATCGTACCTTGAAATTACGGAATGCTTCCTTCCACCCGCAGCACTAACTAGCTCTAGCTCTGGCCCTCCAGACAACGTGTGTGTGGGCCCAAAGTCGCAGCAGTAACCCCACACTTAGAACTTCATTTTGTCTTCTCTGTGGTCTCAAGCCAGCCGCACACGCTAGCACTAGTTGTGGGGCACTTCTCGCATCTGTACCCCTTTGCATCTGAAGCTCTACAACCAACCCATCATTTATACATTGCCCCCAATGAGTTTTCTTGCATGGTTAAAAAGCAGCATACACCTTGAAGAAACAATTTTTTAACAGCAGTTACTGAGAGCAATACAGAAGCTCTGTTCTGGTGAATGATCAAATCATACGTATGTTTTGTGATTGAGACATTAACGTGCAACTAAAAAAATCACTACAGCCATGAAAAGCTCTGTAGTCCTGTTTCCCTTGCCAACGATAGTTTTTCCGACAGACAATAAACAAGGTCCAATTTCAACTCCGCTGTTGTGCCAGAGTACAACCACACTTATCCTGTCAAGCTCTCTGTTCAGCCATCAAAAAAATATTTCAAGAAACAATTTAAGAATCTAAGCCATCATAGAGTACAATGAAGTTCTCTGCTGCTAAATTATTGTAGAGTGTAATGTCGCAACATAGCTCGATGCATGCAAGTACTAAATGCTGCCAGCATATACAAGATTGCGCCGATGGGCCAAATCGTTAGGCACTTGAAAACATTTGACAAGTAGTTTTCATACATCATCTTAACTTCAATGACAAGTTTCACCATCAATAATTGACTGCTGTGCACCTAGCCATATAAGCCTATGTAAACAAGGTAAATGCATATACAGAGAGAAAAACGCACAACGTGGCACCTTAAATTGCCTCAGCCAACACCTACTAAACATAAGAAGCCAAGTACAGCAAATCAGTATCCAGAGTAAAAAAAAAAATTGCCCGCAGCTTCCCTCGGGGGAACACTGAGGAGGATGCGGAGCATATAATTGGTTAACGGGGTGTTAAAGTGCGACTTACTTGGGTCGATGGCTAAATTGGTTAACGTGGTTGTGAAATGGGGTGTTAAATTGCGACTTACTTGGGTCGATGGCTAAATTGGTTAACGTGGTTGTAGGAGGGGGTGTTAAATGAGTGAACACGTACACACGTATGCGAAAGGGCGGCGCTGGTCGAAGGGACGTCGATCATTGTGTTTGTGGATTCGTTGGAATTCATTTCACCGCGACCTTGGACGTCGACGCGCCGTACAAACCAACCGACGAGCGGCAACTGAGCGAGCGAGCGCCGACCTTGAGTATATATACAGCGCGACGGCGCATGCACTGTCAGCTGTTGAATGTTCTCGAAGCGCGACGCCACATGCGCGTCCACTGGAGAATCAGGAGAATTGTAGATGTCGAACGCGGTGTGTAGAGGAGGAAGGGTGCACAGATGGTGGAGGAGTGAAGCGCACGCGGTGTGTAGAGGAGGAAGGGATGCACAGATGGTGGAAGAGTGGGCGACGGCGCGACGGCGCATGCGCGCGCGTCAGCTGTCGAATGTTCGAGAAGCGGTGCGGACGACGCGGACGGCGCACTACAAGGCGCGAGTATAAGATGCTTCCGCATCTAAAAAACGAAATTATGAGATATCACTCGATCCCCTGTGCACTCTTTGCAGCCCACAATTGTAAAGACCTCCACCAAGAAGATTTGGCATGCTAGCTGCAATGTGTAGACAGGATTATATGTGCACAACACTATTTTCTGTCCCTTAACTAGATTAGTCGGTGCTCCTAAACACTATTCAAGCAGGTATGGGTGAACCTTTACCACCATGCGTGTGTAGAGTAGGTGAACCTGTCCGTGTCTGTGTATAGCACACCAGCAGACAGTTCTTGCTCTGCAGGGACAGAACGACGACACATACACAAGAAGGACCCGAAGGACACTGTGTGTCATTCTGTGTTGTCGTTATGTTCTCGCGCTATAACTATCGTCATGTCATACCAACTAGCCCAAGCTGCCACACTTCTAAGTTTGTCTGCGAGCATGCGATGGCTGAAGACCACACCGAGAGGAGCTACAATGACGACGCAGTGGCGCAATGGTGCCTCCACAGCTGATAAGAGTTTGATGAAATGTTTCATAGAAATCATTCAGAGGCTAAGAAACCAAGAACCGAGTTCAAAATTTTGCTGCAATTGCGTTTCTAGCATAAAAGAAATGGTCAACCAATACCTACTGGCAGAACTGAATGCGAAAATCAAATAAGATTGCATGTCATTAGTGAGAGTACCATGGTCATGGATGGAAGCAACTTCAGCGAGACTGCCCCTCTCTGCATGTCTGCACTGAAGAGGATAAAACTCCAGAAGCTCTCTACAAGCTAAGGTTGGCTACTAATATCATTGCAGCCACAGTTTCGGGTCAGTGATGATTCAAGGTGTGGTTATTAATATATCGCAGAGGAATCAACATTTGGGTGAGTCGATACTGGCTGAACCTCTTGAAGGGGTAACGCGACAAAGGACACAAAACAGGAGTGAAGACAGGACCACGGTGTCCTCTGCTTCCTCCCTGCCTTGTATCCTTGTCTCTTGAGCTACCCTTAAAGAACTTTCTACACCGCATGATTTTTAAAACACCAATTAAGTTTTCTGTTAAGCACAAATAAATGAAAGATTATGCCGACTGACAGAGTGCTAGGCAGTAACCTTGAGAACCATACTGTAAGACTTCGCTGATTTTTTTTACATTTCATGACAACAGCTGCAAGGCTGTGTCTGTGTGGTGGTAGTCATCAAAGTCAATGAGCTTCAAGGCTGCTGCTGCTGCTCTGCAATTGTGTTGACAGTGAAAAAAGCCCCAGAACAGTTTCATGTATGCCACTCCCACTCATCGCTACCTCCTTTATCCTTGCAAGATATGCAAAAGATTTGTACACCTGTATTTCTAAACAAGCCACCTCAGCTACGAGGTTTCCTTTTGTACACCTGCCGCTGATGTTTTTGTGAAGAACAGTATAAACGTTACACTGTTATGATACTGTATGTTCTCACGCATGGTTCACGACAATATTTTTCATTTCTGCCATACACTTTTTGTTCCGACAGTTTCTACACATGAGCTTTCTTCGTAGTCAGTAACTGCACTTGTGTACTTCCCGTTTCACACACAACTTCGATACTTTTTGCTCTTGTGTTGTTTTAAAATCCATGCACCAAAGAAATGGATAAGCACATCACTTTCTTGGATAAAAAGATAGGCTTGATGTCTGGCCTAATGTTAGGCTTAATCTTAGGCCTAACTGATAACTTAGGCCTAGCTTCAAGCCCCTTCATCTTAGGTCTAACTGACAATTTAGGCCTAGCTTGAAGCTCTTTCATGGCGCTTTGAAGTGAAGAAATTTCTACACGCAATGCTTCCCAATCTCTCCCGCACTCAAGCACTTAAATTAAACATTTATGCTTGGGTGAAAGATTTCGGCGACTGATCAAAGTTTGAAAGCCTGTAAAGTACTCATACTGTTAGAAATTTGAATTTAATTTCTTTACGTATAGTGAAAATAAATGCACTTCACGAATGTTTCTCTTTGTTTCGCAAGATAAAACAATGCTGAATTTTTCATGTGTTGTCAAGCATGCAAGAAGAAATAAACAGACCTACCATTTAGGAACATCTCAGTAGTTTCTTCTTCAATAGTACACCTGATCATGCAACATAGATGTTGGTCGTCTTGGTTAAGAGCTTCTTGAGTACAAACAACTAATTCAAGGCACTGAAACAACAAAGCACACTCGCTACAACAGCACATTTACGACAGATACGTCAAAGCAAGAAGCCAGACCCACATGACACCAAAAACCTTGCCAGCATGAAAGGACAGCTTGAAGCCTAAAAAAACGACAATTGTGAAAATGAGTCTCAAATGGCAGCTCTGTTATGACAAACAACCTACTTTTTCTTTTTATAAGCTGTGAAAACTAGTGCTATTCTCGCAGCACGTGTTTTAAAGCAACACGAGGTACTAATTTCTCATTCCTTTTCTTTTTGCTTCAACTAGGCGTGCATTACTTTCTGCTGGTCTCGGTACAAATAATTTTGATTAACCAGGAGCTTCAAACTTCCTGACGCACAAACAGTGACAAGATCGAGCGAATCAGAACACAGTGACACACGTCTATGTATACTGCATGCGCGTTATGCTGCATTTCTCGACAAAACCTGTGCACTAGAAGGAAATTCCAAAAAAAAATAAAGAGGGGAGAAAACCATGGCACTGATGAGTGAATGTCCCAACCACCCGTCTTCTTCTAACTTAAAGAGACAATTACTATCCCTGTCGAAATACAGTGAGAAGTGAACACTGCAACTAGGCCTAAACTTCAGAGCCCAGCATGCCCCCCTCCCCCCACAGCGCATCCGAGCGTTGCCTACACAACCATCTGGTCTCGGAGCTCGTCCCCGCGAATTTTACGCCTTGAGTGAGGCATTCTCATCCTCTCGTTTAGCACCAACACCACCCCGAAGATATAGTTCTTGTGCATGGAAGAATTTCATTTCCGAAACAAGCATGCAATACGGGAAATCAAAGGGCCTGAGGAAAGGCTGAACGTATGCACGTGTACACTGCTCACGTCTGCTATTGTTGTCGTCTGCAAATTCCTGCAATTCGCAGCTAGCATGAAACCTGTATTGAGCTACCCAGGGGGGCATAGGATTTGGTCGAAAGTCCAGAGCCATCACAGTAAAGCAGCAGACGACATGCTCAGCTGACATCATAATCTAAAGCACACAACACAAAGACAGGCAAGAGTCATCATCAGTCAGTTGACGACCAAAGGCCAGACGTAAGAGCTCTCCAGGTCGATGGCTCGAGGATGCCAGAAGAATCGCTGCGGAATGTGCAGGGGCTGGATCGTGTATTGGCACTCACAGAGGCTCCGAAAGTAGAAGCACGGCAGACGCAGGCATGTGTGTTAGAACAGCAGTATCGTCAACCTGCAGTGGTGACGGTGGGGTAGGGGCAGCGGCGGTGGTGGTGTCCTCGGGTCTTCTTGCCGGGTGGCTGTTGTGATCATGAGGTGGCAGCAGCGGCTGTGTCGATGGGGCAATCCACTTCGCCGGAATGTGTGTGGTTCTCCTCCTCGATGGCGTAGCTCAGCTTGTATTTCAGGCGTACGTGGTCCTGTAATGGGGAGATCAAGCAGCATCTGGCTATTTGCGCCGGCAAAATCTTCGTGATCATAAATGTCGTGCCTGCGACCCCTTTGGTGATAAAGGCTGTGCTCTATACACTTGTGACTATAAAAGCACTTAATCACAGTTTCTTGTGTTACACAACATATGTAAAATTAGCATACAAATTTGATCACCGCGACTTTCTTCCATCATAACACAAAACTTGTCTAGGCAAGGGATAGCCTCAAAGGCCCCATGATCTACTACCACTAATGAAAATCTCTTGATTTAATGGAACTGCTGCTTACACAGAACTGCCTCTGATATCATTGGTTTCGTACTTAGATTCTGCACCTTAGTTCATCTCTCACTGAACAGAAGTCCTGCTAAAGAGGGATTATTTTTCTTGGTTCCTTCTGGTTCCATATCATGGGAGTCTGCTTGAGAACCAGGCTTTGATACAATTCAGATGCCAAGATATCTGGGTTTTACTGTAAGGCATTTGGCACGAGGTAAACACCGAAAACCCCAACTTTGATATCAAAATAAATGAGAGGCTCAATACTCTCCAATCACCGGCATGCTACTTGCACCTTTATGACCACAACCCAATTCCCATTTTTGTCTGTCATATGGGTGCCTCTGTCACATAGACCCAAGCCCTTTCTTAAGACTAATAAACCATGCTTCAAGATATGCATAAAACAAATTTTGGATGGTATGCATCTTTTCCAGCATAGCCCAACTAGGAGGGGTGCTGACACAAAACTTTGCAGGCAAGATAGCCTGGGTGATCAATTCCCATGAGCATGAGTATATTACCTGTAAAATATACACAGCAAATATGGTATGCAAGCTATTTTATATGTAGTCTGAAGTTACATGCCTGACTGAGCACATTACGTTGCACTTCGCAGCAATGACACCGCCGAATATGACTCAACAGTGGGCCCCTACTTTTTTCATGTCACTATGCTGCAGCCGATACAAAAAGCTACAAAGACGTCGCAGTCGTCATTACTTTTTTGCCGCAAATGTGCCAGCAAACTACCTCTCGACGACTGCTTGCGAGTTTGTGGTTGCAGCGCACGCATTGAAAGTTCTTTGTTTGGTTATACTGCTTTCCCATTTCAGTTTGAAAGGTCTTCTTGATGTGGACCATGCGGAAGTGCGTCACAGTTCTGTGTGCTGACAAGGTTAAGCGTTCCACACGCTAGGTGGTAATAGCTGCATCCGGTGGCTTGTCATTTTTGGAGTTCTTTGAAATCGAAACTGACACTGGTCGGTTATGAGAAGTTTGTAATTATCTGTTGTGCGTCGCAGCAAATTATGTGCCGTGTCATGACTAACAGGCTCCCAGCAACGTATTGTAACAACAAAAAAAACACGAGGCCACATTTTTGTGTTCCATAGCTCTTTTAAAGATTGAAGGCCAGAGCTTTCACTGGTCAGAAACATGTTTGTTCCGCTCACTTTGGCAGGGTTGGCAATCAGCATGACCTGGGTGATGGCAGCAGCCGGCAGGATGGCGTTGTGAGGTGGAAGCTCAGTCGCTTACGGCGGTTGCAACTTGATCCGCATCGTCTGTTTGAGATGCACGAACGACAACACAAGCAGTGGGAGAGCGAACTAAGGGCAATCGTTTGGGCTAGTTGGCTTTTCGTGTAATTTGTACAATGAGAGAAGAAGAAAATGGGAGTGTGCAATTCATGTATTGGCGTTGTTTGAAGATCGCAGCGATGGTCCCTGCCTGCAGCGAGTGGTCTTTTCATCCACTATTATTTCATCACATTTACATTTAATTACTTTTAATAACGTCCCCTATATGTTCCTTGGCATAATCGTCTGTTAGACCTCATTAATATTGTGTCTAACAAAAAAAACAAGCCATTATATTATACACTTCTTTTCTTCATACATAATGTGGTGACATTTTTGTGCAAAGTTTACGCTACATAATGGTTGCAACTATACATTTGGGCGATTGTTTTTTAAGTGTGCGGTGATCGTGCAATTAAACATGGTACGCAGGCAAGTACTCGGCAACTTGTTTGAGAATCTTGAAAGACTTGTGCAAAAGTATTTTCAATAGTGGCTAGAATTATGCCTAGCCACGTTTATTAAAATTTTATGGGCTTGTTTTAGGCTTGTGAAATATTAGAATGCTTCAAATGTTTGAACGACTAGCAGAGTATTCAAATTTGCTTCGTTTCAAATTTTAATTACAGATAATTTCGAAGTATTCGCAATGAACGAATAGCTTTATATTAATTCGCATGTAACCACCCATAAATGTGGTTTCACTGCAGTGTAGGGATGCTAAGCCATGAAAAAACTTATCCGGAAGAAATACGCTTTGCCGCGAAGCTCCACTTCAATCCTAATTTAAGGCCCCTGAAAGATTTTTTTTCAGCTTGTTCGGAAAACGCTGCCGATCGGTAGTCCAGGCTACCGAAAACACGCGAGCCAGATATTATAGCGCAACACGCGGCCTATATATAACAACAAATTGTGAAGGTGAGCTAAAAATTGCTCTCTTCTTTCGAAAAACGGCGCTACAAGCTAAAATAAAAAATCACTTGTCACAGCCATTGTATCAGCGATTAGCCGATTTGAGCATGGCACACTCGGTCATTACTGGGGTTACCGCGGGAGGCTGCAACTTGTCCCCGCGTGTGCATGTGATCGCACTAAAAAACTGCCTATTCGAAGAAAAAAACTGAAATAGGGCTCAAGGTAACAAGGCTCGGGTGACATATTTTCTTTCCCTGAGCCCTCCCTTCCTGCTTAGCTTCCAGCGATTTCATTGGGATGAGAGAAGCGAGGATGCGATTACAACGTGCGACAAATTCTTGTAACTCTGCTCGTACTGGATGAATTTTAAAGGCTTTTGCAGCAATAAAATTGTGAGGCAATAGGCTCCTTTAGTGAGTTCATTCCATAGTTACTTGAAAAAATGTTGCAGGGCCCCCTTAAATGAACATACTATCCTCAAATCGATTCATCATTATTTAAGTTTAAAAGCTTGTTATGGCATACATGCTCTAGGCATAATAAATTTTTAAAAATGATATGTATTTTCTAATTACCACTTGCATTTTATTGAAAGCCGAATCCTGTTACAACTCAAAGTTGTTTCAACTTCTTCTGAAGGGGAAAAAAGGAATTTGCATAGAGGCCTTATTTCAATTAAGAAAGATATTGTGCAGGTTAGTTAGGTCATGAAATATGCTATTCCAATCAGATTAAAAACTATTGGACTAAAATTACTCTGTATTCATTCAAATTCACTTTGAACCTAAAATTCACTATTTGCGCCAGCCTAGTTTCTTTCATTAAAGCTGAATATATTCATCATCCTGCTCCAACAATACACGTATACTCGTCTATCAATACATCGGTATGCAAAAATTTACATGCATGATCATTTCTTCACAAGTGCAACCTTTCAAATTAGTTTAATGGACAGTGTCGTTTAAAATTCCTTTAAATACGACACCATGCAACTGTTTTCCTAAGGTATAAAAACAACAGCTGCCCCACAACGAAACGCTCACCTTGGGCACGGTAGCCTGAAAGGCGATTCGGCGCACGGGCAGATGCTCTGACTCATGACGGACACGATGAGCACCGACACGTGCTCCTGGGGCCGGTTTCGTGCAATGCGAATCACTGCGCGCACCCCATCTCCTGGTGCAGGTTCACGGGAGCCTGCGAGCCTGCATTCACCAGAACAGAGATAACAAGGTCTTGCATGAGATGCGGGGCAATCCAAATCGAAGTATCTCCCTAAGCAATGCGCGGTGTACGAGAGACACAAGAACCGTGTGTTTCAGGTTAACCTACAACACCAGGCACTTCCAGAATAGACACCAAGAAAAAAAGACTAAACTAGTATATTGGGTTCCTAGACAATTCAAATTTTCTGTATCTGTATGAGACAATTTCAGAGAATGTTTATTCCTAGCATAGTAAACACAGGCCAAGCTTCTACATCAGCGAAAATTTTCTGATTTCAATGCTTTCTGTTGGGGTCATCGTGGTGAACCATTGTGTGGACAACCTTTGGGAAGAACCAGAGGTTGCGTGTGTTTTATACATGGCAATAAACTATTTTGATCTATCGCAAGTGCGCTTTTCTGCACTGCACATTCACCCTTCTAGTGGCGGCATCTGCCACGCTTTCTAGCAGACACAAGGTCCTGGTTGCACATGCGGGGGTTTGTCTTTTCGGCGTGCTTATATCAAGAGAGCCATGTCTGCATTTTCCACGTCATAGCTCTAGTAAACTGCGCTTGAATACACTGCTTGCTGTAAGTCGCTAGCCACCATTAACTGCACAGGAGGGAAGCTGGCCTTTAATTTACTTCATGAATGGTAAGAGTGCAATGAAGACGAACACACAATGGAGGGCATGTGTGCCTTCATTGTGTGTTCGTCTTCATTGTGCTCTTACCGTTCATAACCAAGACAGACTAACATGCCCGAATTTCTGCCTTCGAAATTACGAAAAATGTCCACTGTGCTCTCTATTCATTAAACGTGGTGGCACAGCTCACCTGGCTGTATCTGCTCCAGGGGCACAAACAGGTTGTTCAGGAGATCATCCGTGGCCACCTTGGAAGGGGATCCCAGAGGATGCCCCTCCATGGGGGCCAGCATAGACGGTCCAAGCGGCAGCGTCTTTGGTCCAACACTCATGGGCTGGAACACTCCCGCTGAGGCCGGAATGTAGCTGGCTTGCAGCAGTCAGCAGGGGCCGTGACATCTGGTTCAGAGAAATCTTCTGTGGCGTGCTGCATGCAATTAAAAAAACTGTACGGTTCCTGTTCCAAAACTACAAACCAATTACCTGAAGCACGCACGTCATCACAAGCGACTTCACATTAACCATTTCTTTGTCAAGAATAATCTCACTATGTTGGGGACAACCATCCTCCGTTAGGCAGCTAAGGTTGTAGAGCCAAAGCATGTGTGCGGTAGCCGGTGGCAAATTGTATTTTATGTCGTTCATTTCGCTTCACATATACACTGTAACTATACTTTCCTTGGTTAATTGGTCATTTGCTCTCATTAAAGTAGTGTCTAATGAGAAAAAACAAGCCCTCCAAATTGACCTTTCATTCACCACTACCTATGATAGTTTTCGACATCGTCAGTGCAATGGTGCGCTTGACAACTCATATGAAATCATGTTGAAGACTACTTTTTAGAAAAAAAAACTGTTTTGTGCGAGACTACAAACAGTATTCCTGTGGTGTAAGCACGTCACCCAATCAACAAACCGTGCACTTTGTGGGATTCCCACGAGATTGCGCGAGTTTAAAACCACTTAGTTCCAATTAATAACAGCACTTAAAAATGACAGCTTTTTCGCCTTTATCTAACCATAGCAGACTCTGAAACGTAGGTGTACACAGGAAAGATCATCTTTCCGTACAACATCACATGGCATGCAGTTTTCAGTCACCCCTCTCTCACATATTTCAGTGCATGTGTGACCCAGCAAAGCCACATGCTAAATGTCATTCCTTGCACGATACATCTAGAAGGTTTTAAATTATTTTTTTCTACTCCCAGCTGAAATTCGGCATAATTTGCATGGTTTGTTCATAAACAACAGGAGAAAAATATCAAGTTCTTGTAAGGTTTTTATGCGTCACTTGAAAAAATATTTGCGCCTGCCTGTTTCCACAAAATAGGGATAGCAAAAAAAAAGATGCGAAGAATGCTTGAGCTATGCCTTCAAAAGTAGAACATGACGACATAATCAAGCCCCATCACCTTCTCGATTGCTAGCCTGGCTTTGTTTGGTCCTCAGTGCATGCCTCAACCATGCCGTAAGGAAACGAACAACTGTGCGCGTAATAGGGGCCGCTTGAACTGTCCTAGAATGCCTACTGAGAATAAAGCTGCTAAGTGCCCATCACACAATTGTCTGTTTTCTGAATCAGTAAAGAGCTCAAACTGTTTAAAGACCTTTACACCACAATTTTTGATTTTCCATATCAGCAAAGGGCTCGCCAAGCGTCTGTAAGGCAACAGGGGAACCTACACAGCTGCTCACGTGTGATGCTTTTACAGCTAATGATAATTAAATATCTGAGTGGTTCGTAAGGGGTAGGTCATTAAAACACCCGCTTGTAGCACAATTCACATCACTTGATGTCTGGTGTGATCGTACAATTTAGTAAGCAATATCACACAACGTAGCAACCAAAAGGAGAATCCTCCCACTACATGATATTCACATAGTTTTTTAATGTGCAGGAATTTTCAGTGAACTTCAGACCCTTGAGCTTCGAGCATATCTTCTTTTTT